CTCTCGGTTTGGCCATTGCTTTGGGGATGGAACCCCGAAGAAAGACTGACAGTCGCCCCCAGCAATTTACAAAACTCTTGCCAAAATTTGGACACAAATTGGGGACCCCTGTCAGAAACCACGTCCATCGGGAGGCCATGTAAGCGAAAGACGTGATCAATGACAGTTACCGCTGTCTCCTTGGCGGAGGGTAATTTAGGCAAGGGAATAAAGTGAGCCGCCTTCGAGAACCGGTCCACGACAGTCAAAACGACTGTCTTGCCCTGGGAGGGCGGGAGGGCGGTGATAAAATCTAGCGCAATGTGGGACCAGGGTCTCGAAGGGACAGACAGTGGTTGGAGTAACCCATCTGGGGGTCGATTGGAGGATTTACCAGTGGCACAAACCGAGCAAGCCAAGACAAAACTGCGGATGTCACGAGCCATAAGTGGCCACCAGAATCGTTGCCTTACCAAAAAACTGGTGCAATTAGCTCCTGGATGACAGGCCACGCTGGAACAATGCCCCCACTGAATAACGTCGGACCGACACTCTTCTGGCACAAATAAGCGATTCGATGGGCAATCGGGCGGAGGCGTTACCCCTTCTAAGGCCTTCATGACCTTCGATTCGACCTCCCATCTAAGAGTGGAGACGACTAAAGTCTCGGGTAAAATACACTCGGGAGTAGACGGGCGTTCGGATTGGTCAAAAATACGAGATAAAGAATCGGGTTTGATGTTCTTGGAACCCGGGCGGTACGAAAGAGAAAAGTCAAAACGTCCGAAAAAAAGTGCCCATCGAGCCTGCCTAGAGTTGAGTCTTTTGGCGGTTCTAATATACTCTAGATTCTTGTGATCGGTCCATACGATAAAAGGGACCCCTGACCCTTCTAACCAGTGACGCCATTCCTCCAGCGCTAACTTGACTGCCAACAGCTCTCTGTTACCAATCTCATAGTTACTCTCGGCAGGTGACAAACGATGGGACAAAAACGCGCAGGGGTGCATCTTGTCGTCTGTGGAAGAGCGTTGGGAAAGAACTGCTCCTACACCCACCTCTGACGCGTCGACCTCCACCACGAACTGACGTGATGGATCAGGGGCAACGAGGATGGGAGCCGAAACGAAGCGGCTCTTAAGTTTAGCGAATACAGCCTCGGCTGTATCGGACCACCTGAACGTCGTTCTGGGGGAGGTCAAGGCAGTCAGAGGTGCGGCTAGTTGGCTGAAGTTGCGAATAAAACGCCGATAAAAATTGGCGAACCCCAGGAACCTCTGTAGGGCCTTACGGGAATCTGGACTTGGCCAATCAATCACAGCCTTAACCTTGTCAGGATCCATACGCATTCCCTCAGACGAGACGATGTACCCTAGGAAAGGAACAGACTGTGCATGAAACATGCATTTCTCCGCCTTGACAAAAAGCCCATTCTCTAACAACCTCTGAAGCACTCGTCTGACGTGCTGAACGTGTTTCTGGAGAGAAGATGAAAAAATCAATATGTCATCCAGGTAAACATATATGAATTGGTCGACCATATCTCTCAACACGTCATTGACGAGTGCCTGGAAGACCGCCGGGGAGTTGGACAGCCCGAACGGCATGACCAAGTATTCAAAGTGCCCCCTAGGGGTATTGAACGCGGTCTTCCATTCATCGCCCTTCCTTATGCGAACCAAATGATAAGCGTTACGTAAATCCAGTTTTGTGAAGATGGATGCTCCCTGTAACCGCTCGAAGGCTGAAGACATCAACGGCAAAGGATAAGTATTCTTTACCGTGATGTTGTTCAACCCCCGGTAATCAATACACGGTCGCAGAGATCCATCGTTCTTCCCCACAAAAAAGAACCCCGCCCCCGCAGTAGATGAGGAAGGGCGAATGAACCTGGATGCCAGAGAATCAGAAATATATTTCTCCATAGCCTCCCTCTCTGGGACAGAAAGTGAATATAACTTGCCCTTAGGCGGAGACTTACCTGGGACTAAATCTATGGCACAGTCATAGGGACGATGCGGAGGAAGAGAAGCAGCACGAGACTTACTGAACACTTCCCTCAGGTCCTGGTACTCCTCGGGCACGTTCGACAAATTCACCGCCTCCTCCTGGAACACAGAGACTGGTACAGACGAACACGCAGACACTAGACATGACTCATGACACATATTACTCCACATAGATACAGAGTTGTGACCCCAATCGACTCTGGGATTGTGTTGTGTGAGCCACGGGTGACCAAGTACAATGGGTGTAAGTGGAGAGTCCATGAGGAGGAATGTTATTGTCTCAGTGTGATTGCCAGATGTAATGAGAGTGATGGGTTCAGTGGTATGTGAAATGTTAGGAAGTTGTTGTCCATTGAGAGCATTGACGGCGATCTTGTGCGTGAGAGTAAAAACAGGAATGTGAAGACGTTGTGCCAGTCCAGAGTCCATAAAATTACCTTCTGCCACCGAGTCCAGTAAAGCCTTAGTGTCGTGCGTGTGAGTTGCCCACCTAAGTCTTACCGGGAGGAGGGTAGATGATGATGGTGATGAGGTCTTCCTGGCGGAGATCCCACCCGATAGTAGCCTCATTGTTACTACCGGGCTTGATCTTTTACTGGGCACAAGTGAATAAAGTGCCCCATCTTCCCGCAGTATAAACACAGTCCCTGGGATCTCCGCCGTTCTCTCTCCTCCCGGGAAAGCCGAGCTCTACCCACCTGCATGGGCTCGGGATCGGAGACGGGGCTGACCATGTCCACGTAATCAGCGCGCGAACCCTCCGCGCCACGAAATGGCTGGTTCTGTAGGACGCGACCCATCCTACTCAGGCGTGCATCCACTCTCAATGCCAGTTCAATGAGTCCATTAAGTCGAGGTGGCAGATCCAGCATGTAAATCTCTCGTTGGACACGGTCAGCCAACCCATGCAGGAAACTATCCCACTGCGCCTCCTCGTTCCATCGGCACTCTGCAGCCAGGGTGCGGAACCGGATGGAATATTCCGACACCGAGCCGTTACCTTGGCGGAGATCAGTGAGTAGTCTGGCTGCCTCCCTACCCGCTACCGCGCGATCGAAAACCCTCCTCATCTCCTCGGAGAGTGCCTGGAACGAGGCGCAGCATGGGTCTTGATTCTCCCACACCGCCGTTCCCCAAAAGAGCCGCCTTGCCAGAGAGCAGAGTGATCACAAACGCCACCTTCGATTGTTCTTGACTGAACGTCTGGGGCTGTAAGGCAAAATGCATGGAGCAACGAGTCAGGAAAGCTCTGCAATATTCAGGTTCACCTGCATACCCTTCAGGTGTGGGAAGTCGTGGCTCTCGCTGATGATGCGGCTCCGGTGGAATGGGTTGAACGGGCGGTGTGGGCGGCGCAGTGGGATCTCTAAGTTGTTGAAGCTGTTGGGTGAGCTCGGACACCTGCGTCACAAGTGCTTGGACCGCCCGACCAGTGTTGGCGATCGACTCTTGTTGTTGATCCATTCTCGAGATGCTCATGGCGGCAAAGTCATCCCAGCTCGTAGCGCTTGCTGCATCAATGATGTGGTCAGATCGTTCTGTTACGGAACGACAAAGGCAGGATGCAATTGCAAAGAACGCTATTTATTATCTCAAAAAGGTCAGAAAAGTACAAACACACAGGGAACACAACACAGAGGAATGGTCGAGCGGACACCAGCGCAGGATGAGAGGTGACGCAGGGACCTCGGTGGACAACTGGTGATGGTGCTCGGTGATCCAACGATGGTGCTCTGTGATCCAGTGGTAATCCCAATACGGTGCTCTGTGGTCCAGTGAAGGTAAAGGAATCCAAACAACCCGACACGACGAGAGACACAGGGAAATCCACAATCCAGGAAGACAGACACGGGAACAGGAACAGGAACACGCCAGGGAGATCAAACAACGATCTGACAACATGAGACAGCAGTTACTGACATATAAAGGGACAAACAAGTGGAACCAGCTGGCGCCGCTAATCAAGGATGATCAGCGGCCACACCCACACACACGCAACAGCACGCAGGACAAGAGAGAGACGGTGAATTGATCAACCGTGACAATGAACAATAATCCCATTAACTACAATAATTATTACATAAAAAAAAAAAACACACACCAGTAACAGTGCCAATTCTGGGTGACACATCTTACCCCAAGGGTCTAATTTGATCTTTTTACTTCAAAATACAAACTTTAACTTTTACTCCACAAATCTAAAACCAGTAATGTATGCGATGTCCTCTAGTGGTAAACACTGACGATCTGCGCTCTTAGAGGAACATGTTGTATATAGAGTTGTATATAGAGGAACATGTTGTCAGGTGCGGCGCTTCATATAGAGATTCCAATCGCATCATTTTATAGATTTAGGTTTAATGACTTATTTTATTTTATTCATTTTAAATTGTAATTAATTGTTATTATTTAAACCACTTGCGAACATATTTATTACAAAAAAACCCTGAATTAACTTATATTATGTTGTGTAATTTGTCTGTGTGCTGCACTGAAAGTGTGTGTGTGTGTGTGTGTGTGTGTGTGTGTGTGTGTGTGTGTGTGTGTGTGTGAGAGTTATTGCGCTCGAGCATCAGCAGAGCCAGTAACAGCATCTTGAACCTCACGTGCAGCTTATGCAAGCTGATTCCTCATACAGTCTGAGAGTATACATCACTGCTGTAGCCTCGAGAACCCGAGCACAGTAAAGCACAATCACTGCGCGGGAGAAGAAGAACACTAAAAGCTTTCATTGCCAGTGGAAGTGCAGCACACGTGAAGCTTAAAGGAGATGCCCTAGTTTTCGACACACAATATAAGAGCGAGGATATATGATGTTGATGATATAGACCTGGAAGTAGACGTGCATATATAAACATATGCATTGGTGTGTATGCATGTGAGGCGTGCACGCGCGCGTAATGTAGTTGCTGGATGTGTGTGTCTCCTCCCACCCGAGCTCGAGCGCACTGAATGCGCAGGAGAGAGAGAGAGAGAGAGAGAGAGAGAGAGAGAGAGAGAGAGAGAGAGAGAGAGAGAGAGAGAGAGAGAGAGAGAGAGAGAGATGATGGCGGAGGAACATCGGCGCTGAGCGGATCTTTTTATATAATTGCGTTCCCTGACTTTATTATAAATAGAAATCATAATCGGCCTGCTCGCCGGATCCGAGCATGGGTAACGAGGCGAGCCTGGAGGCCGGGGAAGGGGGCACGGTGCTGGGCATGACCGGTTCAGCACCGCTGGGCTCTGGACAGATCCTGAAGCCCGTCAATGGCGCAGCGGCCGGGGCTGGACTCGAACCCAGGGCGGGGATGCATCGGTAAGAACCGCGTTATTACTCTACATATACACGCTTAAAGGCCATGCATGCTTGCGTTCGCTTTCCTCATCGAATATGATCGAGGTTTGACAGCGAGAAGCTGAGCGGAACGGAGGATGATGATGATGATGCTGATGCTGCTGATGATGCTCGTTTCTAGGCTACGATCTCTGAACACGAACACAAGAACAGGGCATTAAAGATAGCGATATCACAGAGCTGACGTGTTCAGATCAGAGATCGACACACCTGAGCCGAGAGATGACAAACCGAGAGGGAGAGAGAGAGAGAGAGAGAGAGAGAGAGAGAGAGAGAGAGACCTTTACACACCTTTATTTATAGCTACACTCTATACATTACTCAACCCACATTTAACCAATACAAATCCTTTGAATTTATATTCAAAAATTGTACAATTTAATTATTTAGATAAATAATAATAATTAATTAATTTGAAAAAAACATAAAAATTACAATAAATAAATAAATAAAATCTCATACACATAGGCTATTTTCTATTTTCTATCTATTTTCTCAAATGTAGCTACATAAATACGCATATATACCCACACAATAACTCATAAATTCTCATAACTTAGCAGATTATTGAATACAATTCACAATCCTCATTTAAACTTTTTTTAAACAGTCACAGTCACAGAGAGAGAGAGAGAGAGAGAGAGAGAGAGAGAGAGAGAGAGATAGAGAGAGAGAGATAGGGAGAGAGAATTGTATATGATCGTGTGAATGACAGGAGAATTGTTCTCACATTTATTTACTGTCACGCGCTTGAATATTTCTCGGGCGCGCGCTGCATTCACAGAGAATTACAAACACAGCGTCATATTCGTTGTTGGTTGTTCGCGAAATGATCAATCAGCGTCTCTCGTGAGATTCGGCACGTTTGCTAGAAGTCTGCTGGATATACTCAGACATACCTATATCCATATCCAACATACCATATCTATAGGCTATAATGACTCAAATCACATGATTTTAGATTCTTTTCTGTTAATAAAACGATTAGCAAATAATACTCGTGTGTCTTCATGAGTGTTTCTCTGAGAATCCTTCAGAATCTCCGTCCGCGAGTGTTTCATCCTCTGCAAATGGCTGTCGGTGGGTTATATATGTGTGTGTGTGTGTGTGTGTGTGTGTGTGTGTGTGTGTGTGTGTGTGTGTGTGTGTGATGGAGGGTGAGAGGAGCTCCGACTGTAAGTGCTTTCACATGAAGAATTGATAGCACTGCAACGCGCCTCATTCATCCGTCCCTCAGTTCAGCGTGACTCATGTGTGTGTACTGGCTCTCTCTGATCTCTGGCTGACATGCTAAAAATAGCACGAGCTATTTGTGTTTTCAGGTATAGCCATCATCATCACTCACTCATTCACACACTCACTCACTACACAACGCATCTGTGTTTTATTCCGTCGATGTGTTGATTCATCCGAGTTTTCACCATATGCGTTATTAATAATGGCTCCTGAAACTCAGTTAAAAGCCTGTCACCTATACAGAATTGTAATGAAACATTTTGCAAATCATATTTATAGTGTACTGTAAGTATAATTATGAAAGTTGCAGAATATACCAAGAATATCAGGGAAAGCTTTAACTGTGTTATAAGCCATTTATGTAGTATGACACACACACACGCTGTCAGCACACACAGTGATCTGGTTTTGCCAGGGGACGATTACACATGTGAAGTCCCATGAGAAACAGCCTCAGATCCGTGTTTCCATCACATTTGTTAATGCACTGGTTGAAAATGTGATGAATATGAGGTATTATATCGCGATGATGATCTGAGCCACAGATCCGGTGAACACTCGAGGAGGTTTTCTGGAAAGTGGACGCGTGTTGAAATCGCCCCTGGATCCACAATTTCAAGAGACAGCCATTTTGTTGTGGTGTACATTATTGAGTGCACTCATTCAATCCCATAATGCACCGCAGTACCACGTGTTCAACCGCCAGGGAATACCTATAATGCAGTGTGTGCATAAATTAATTCCAGAAGACGCTGTCCACAGCCGAATCACATTTCATATTTTAATTACGGTTTACACAACCGAGACAGCAACATAGTGTCGGCCCAGATCCGGCCCACATCTGGTGCACAGGGATTCCACACGGCCCGGATGTGGGCCGGATCAGGGCTCTCATGTATAAACCTGTGTGTAGGATCTTTACTAAAAGTGTCCGTGCGCCCGAAAGACAAAAATGTTATAAAAAGTTATAAAAGTGTGTGTACGCCAGAACCTGCGCTAAATCCCTTTATAACCCAGTCAGAGGAAGAGTGTGAACATGCGTCTCCTCCCCGAAATTACCATATATGAGCTGACAACGCCTCGTTTACTATATCCTCATCTGCATATCATTAGCATATTCAAATTCATCACGTGTTCCCATGTTTAACAGTAAGACATTAGGAGAATATGAGATATGGATGTGCGTCACTTTACATTACTAAAAATCATTTAGTAGCCGATCCTTGCCTTGTTTTTGAATAAATAAATCAAATAGGCTGGTATAAAATACATTTAATTGCTTTATATTTTTAATGGAAACAGATAGGCCTTATTGTGCATTATTGATCATTATTTGCATCTCTGCTGTTATCATGCGCTGAGCAAACATTAACACACAGCAGCCTCAGGAGAAGTGTTCAACAGCAGCGCATACGCTACTAATATTACTATTTATTAGAATATAAAAAATGTTGTAAACTTCTCCGTAATGATTTTTCATGTAATTTAAGTGCTTAACTCCATTAATGAGAATGGCATATTTAATCTAAATGTGTATATCAGAAGTAAAACAGAGTTTAAATCATACTTTTATGTATTTAAACTGTTATTGTGAACTTCACTGTATTTATGAATATGCCTCATAATGAAGATTAAAGATGTTTTCCTTCATCAGTTCCTCAGATCTCCATCGGTGTCGCCAAACGTCTCCGTGTCCAGAATGATCAGAGTTACTCACAGATGAACTTACACACTCTCCCGTCGTGTGTGTTTATAGATCACAGCTCGTGTGTGTGTTTATAGATCACAGCTCGTGTGTGTGTGTTTATAGATCACAGCTGGTGTGTGTGCAGTGGCGTACGGCTCGTGCAGGGCCGGTTCTGTGCGACGCACCGGTTATAACCCGGACCCCTGATCCGACACTATGGTATGGTGCTGTCCGGGAAGCTAATTTTCCAGATAGATCATTACATTACTGCAGCTTATCAGATGAGCACTGCGAGCATAACCACTGTCAGCACTTTTATTTTATTAATAAAAAGTGATGCAAAAGTTGGCAAGGCTTCCGGGACGCTGTCCGATCGCGCTGGACCATATTAGTGCACTATTACTGATGTTGGACACAGCCACCGTCAATGACTTTCAAAATGATGGACAGGCATTGGCATAGAGTTATTAATCTGTAAAACTATAGTTGGTTACTTTATGCCATTTTGTAGTAGTGCATTCACACTGGAAATCCCAAAAAGAAAAACTGCACTTTTTTCCCGGATGATGATGATGCACTTAATGAACTGAAGACGAAGTGTACAATGCTGGACTCTTCATGCCGTCGAGTCGCAGCTCTCCTCATAACTGAAGTGGAGGACTATAGTGCAGGAGTGTATGATAGTGCAGGATAGTGCAGGAGTGTGATAGTGCAGGAGTGTATGATAGTGCGGGAGTGTATGATAGTGCGGGAGTGTATGATAGTGCAGGAGTGTATGATAGTGCAGGAGTGTATGATAGTGCAGGAGTGTATGATAGTGCGGGAGTGTTATAGTGCAGGAGTGTATTATAGTGCAGGAGTGTATGATAGTCCGGGAGTGTATGATAGTGCAGGAGTGTATGATAGTGCAGGAGTGTATGATAGTGCAGGGGTGTATGATAGTGCAGGAGTGTATGATAGTGCAGGAGTGTATGATAGTGCAGGAGTGTATGATAGTGCAGGAGTGTATGATAGTGCAGGAGTGTATTATAGTGCAGGAGTGTATGAGAGTGCAGGAGTGTATTATAGTGCAGGAGTGTATGATAGTGCGGGAGTGTATGATAGTGCAGGAGTGTATGATAGTGCGGGAGTGTTATAGTGCAGGATAGTGCAGGAGTGTATGATAGTGCGGGAGTGTGATAGTGCAGGAGTGTATGATAGTGCGGGAGTGTGATAGTGCAGGAGTGTATGATAGTCCGGGAGTGTATGATAGTGCAGGAGTGTATGATAGTGCAGGAGTGTATGATAGTGCAGGGGTGTATGATAGTGCAGGAGTGTATGATAGTGCAGGAGTGTATGATAGTGCAGGAGTGTATGATAGTGCAGGAGTGTATGATAGTGCAGGAGTGTATTATAGTGCAGGAGTGTATGAGAGTGCAGGAGTGTATTATAGTGCAGGAGTGTATGATAGTGCGGGAGTGTATGATAGTGCAGGAGTGTATGATAGTGCGGGAGTGTTATAGTGCAGGATAGTGCAGGAGTGTATGATAGTGCGGGAGTGTGATAGTGCAGGATAGTGCAGGAGTGTATGATAGTGCGGGAGTGTTATAGTGCAGGAGTGTATGATAGTGCGGGAGTGTTATAGTGCGGGAGTGTATGATAGTGCAGGAGTGTATGATAGTGCGGGAGTGTTATAGTGCAGGATAGTGCAGGAGTGTATGATAGTGCGGGAGTGTTATAGTGCGGGAGTGTATGATAGTGCAGGAGTGTATGATAGTGCGGGAGTGTTATAGTGCAGGATAGTGCAGGAGTGTATGATAGTACGGGAGTGTTATAGTGCAGGAGTGTATGATAGTGCAGGAGTGTATGATAGTGCGGGAGTGTGATAGTGCAGGATAGTGCAGGAGTGTATGATAATGCGGGAGTGTATGATAGTGCAGGAGTGTATGATAGTGCGGGAGTGTGATAGTGCAGGAGTGTATTATAGTGCAGGAGTGTATGATAGTGCGGGAGTGTATGATAGTGCAGGAGTGTATGATAGTGCGGGAGTGTTATAGTG